AGCTCTTACAAACTTATTATGTAATGCATTTCTTTAGGCTTTCAGTTCACAATCTTTATCGTTATCTACTGTGAAGTGTTTACTGGTTGGCACAGATAATTGTGTGAAATTGTCTTGATGGTCTGGTGGGTTAAATTCTTAAAATAGACACTTTGGTAAGCCACTCCTCCCATGTGTTTCTCCTTTTCACAGTCGGGCAGCAATGATGTGTGATTCCAAAATACATGGTCACATGACAGTAAAAGTGTACAGTTGCCAAGATACAGGGGGCGGGTCAACTTACCCACTGGCCCAACTTACCCCACTATCCCCTGCTATGCAGAACATATGTTTTTAGCGGTTGCAAAGTAATTACTTATTCAAAAGGAGTACCTAGAAGTGCCTACAAAAGAAGTGCCTACTGCTTTATAGTTCCTGTAGGCAGTAGGTGGTATTTAGTATCCAGGAAATAGTAAAGAGCAAGTCCATTCTGAGCATAGGCCTTGTTAGACTTAGTAACATTTGGGACAGGTTTTAGCTAAGGGTCATTGTAATTTTCCATCCAGCTTTTCTGTACTACCAACTCATACATAAAATAAGTATAGACAAACCATTCTACCTCTAATTCATAAGCTAAACATTCATGATAGCTTCCCAGACCACTGAAGACCAATTCACATGTCCAGACTTCTCTCCAGCAAAGCTCAACAGGTGGCAGTGTTGTCTTGTATTTTATTTTTTCACTCGTTTGGTTCATCAGCTCAAACAGAGTCACAGGTTTCATACGCTGGAATACAGGTTCGAACAATATTGACAGCTGTAAAAAGTGATGTCAGGCACAGTGGTATGTGAGCAATGCCACTGTCTGTTAGTTCTCCCATGCTTATCTTGTCTCTGCAACCTGCTTGTTTGATGATTGAGATTTTTCCCATTACTACTTCTTTTGAGGGTTTTGCATGTGGAATTTGCAGCTTGTAAGGCCTTGCCTCCCACTGCATTCTTTACTTCCTCACACACAGAGTTCTCATTACGCAGTGCTGTATTTCAAGTGTCCTGTCCCATTTCTGTCAGCTACAGCAGTCTGTCAGAATGCAGTTCTCACCATGGCTTGGAATTGGTGTTCAGAGGAAGTAAATGCATCTATAGGACGATTACTACTTCAAAGAGGTACAACATGCCTGAAGTGACCACAAAACCATTCAGTTTATCCATAAATCTGCAGTGTTGTTGAAGTGGGGCTTGGGCATGTGTTGATCTCATAAGGCTCAATGCTTTAAACTTTCAGCTGTCAGATAGCCTGGCTGGCATTCCTTTAGCTTCAACTTCCCCCTGCGGCTGCTGATGTTAGCTAGGTCAACAGATCTCTATTGGCCCTGCAGCAGGAACATCTCACCTGCTTCTGAGTGCAGTGAAGGGTCATCAACATTTATTTTTCTTTTATGTGTATAGGTTCCATTTTCTCACAATTTAACCTGCAAAGACAACTATAAATGAGTCATCTGTGGGTCCCCAAAAAATTACTTTGTGGCATTTTCATTACTCTGTTTGTTTAAGAAATCCAACATAGCAATATTGGCTCATCTAATGGCATTAGATTGTGGTTGGATTATGTGGACTGAAAAAGGCTGTGCTGCAGTTAAGCCAATCACATTCAGATTTGCCTCCATTTCGGTATATAATGCTTACTTTTCACAATCAATCAAAAACAGTGGATAAATTCAATTACCGTCCTTTGGGGGGTATTAAGTCATATTACTCAGAAATATGTCAAAATGCACTAAAGTAGCACACTTATACTCTGGCTGTACTGTTTATGCCATACTGTATGCCGTTTAGCAAGACTAAAGGTTTAAGCTCATCAAGCTTGTTGCTCTTTTACCAGCTTGCTTCTACGGATGTCACCCAAAAGTTTTAAGTATTGTTGAATGCTTGTGTAGAACCCATTGTTTAGGGACAGTTGACAGTTCTGTTGTCCTTGGCGGGAAGTTTGGCTAAATGCCTCTTTAAGCACTAATGATGCCCCTCTTTCTTGCCTCCCTCTATTTCTGCTCGCTCCACTCACCCGCCCAGCACCTGGACCCCATCCTTGAATCCTGCTCCTGAAAACCCAGCCTTGCCATCTTTTTTTTCAAGCTGTAATTAAGGAGATGGCTAGCCAGGCTCTGCTGTAATAGTAATGAAAGAAATGTCCAACCTCACCCTCTGGCAGGGCATGGCAAAGAAAAGGAGAAGGTGTCACTGCATCTACACAATGCAGTTGGATCAAGGAGGGTCCTCGATTTGACACGTAGAGACTGGACCATCCACTCCTCTTGCTCCTCCTCTATTCTCCTCAACTGCTGCAATTCAACGCCCTCTCCGCACGCCTCCTTAACTGTAATTAGGTGGCTGTCCCTGCCGCGCGGGGCCCTTTTGACTTTCGGTGTGCGCGGCAGCCCCAGCAGATGCACCTGTCCCCTGTCTTCCTCTGTTCAGGTGAGCGAGGGCAGTTAATCTCCTGCGACCCCTGGCAGACTCTCCCAGACACCTGTCTGCCAGGTGCCGCTTTATCACCTGGCCGCTCTCTGTTCTGGCCTGGTTGAGGATAAGGAGGGCGGGAAATAGCGAGAGACAATGAGAGAGAGAAAGTTCAGCACTCTTCAGCTCCAGCTCAACCCACACCTTTCTCCCACTGCCTGGTCTTTTGTGAACAGCAGCTGCTTAGGTGTGTGTGTGTCTTTGTGTTTCAGATGTATTGGATATGTATTGTGTTTCAAAATGTATTGGAGTGATAAGAATAGTTTGGAATGGTTCTTCTAACCGAGGCATTTGAAAAGACTTTGGTAAGTTACCAGTAGCAGAACTTCTCAGTAAAGTTGTAGCACCCTACTGATGACTTATTTGACCACTTTACAATTACTTTGTTAATCTGTGATGCTCTATTTAACCAAGGTATTGGAGGCTGTACTATACTGTGAACATAATCATGGCTGAATGGTGTTGAAAAGAGTTCTAACCTCTGATAATACACCATTGACCATGAACTCAAACTTGAGTTTCAAACTCAAATCCTGCATCCAAATATGTATGTGTATATATTAGCTGAAAAACAATACATACAAAAGGGAAGTATGTTCAAAATTTATAGTATTCATAAAACAGCATGCAAAAAGTAACATGATGACCTACTACTTTCGCAGTGATTGCAAATTTAATTGACGCTTTACTATCCTATGAGGCCAGGGGAGTGGAGTTAATCGAAGCAACTGATGCCGTGAGTCACATTACAATGATAACACAGGGGACGTAGAATGTCTAGATTTCTTTCATACTATGCACATTCATACTTTATAGAACATACTTTTTTTAATGGTTGCAAAGTAAGTTCTCTTTTTCAAATGTAGCACCTAAAGAGTATGCAATTTTAGACAGCTAAATAGTACAGTAAAGTGTCTATTGGATGCACAATTTAGAATCGTGGTGAAATTAGTTGGTCATTCAGGTGTTTTTCACCTACTGTTTTATGAATACTGCATATTATGACATACTGCTCATTTGATGTGCTGCTTTTAACGTACTATATAATAATGGCATATTCAGATGCAGGGTTAGTCCCTGAAATGACAGAACAGTGCTGTGCAGTGATGCCATAAACGTGCGTTTTGCTGGATTTCAACACCACTGAAACGCACTGAACAATCAGAAGCCAGGACTGCACTTAGCCATTTTTTTATTAAAATATTTTTTGTATGACTCTCTGTAATACTTGATTTTGTTTGTTGGCATACATTTTTTTTGTGCATAATAAATGCCAAACTGTGGCTACGTTCACACTGTCAGTTTTTGGGATTGACAACCGCATTTACTTACAGGTGTGAGTCTTGAAATGTCACGTTCACACAGCAACTTACAGTAGCTTCTCGGATACTGTCTATGCACATGCAACGGGAGTCAAGCCTGTATTCCTTACCAGTTACCATAGTGACAGTGACCAAAGTAATATCAAAGATGGAGACGTCCATAAAACTGAAAGTCTTTTATGAATCAGAATGAATGAAGTCAGAATCAGTTTCTGACACAACAAGAGTTCAATCGAGCCGCAAGTTCATCCATCAAATCTTCATTAACTGACAGCAGCTTTTATATTTGGGTGGAGAGCAGAACATTTGAGTCGCGTGTAGAAAACAAAACTGACGGGAGCGGTTTAAGTACAGAACCCTGGATCTAAAACTTTCAGATGACACACAGCTAATTTCCCTCGTCACTGTAAGTTACTGAAACCACACATGAAAACACGCAACACATGGTAAACACGCGTTTATTCAGCAGAGCGACTCTCTAACACTGTATGATGTGACTGACAACTAGTTGTCCAGTCCTGTTTTGTTAACACCGCACGTGTTTTCCGAGAATGCGGTTGTGAGTCCTGAAAATTTACTGGTGTGAGTTCGGTTACAGAATGCGGTTGTCACGCCTGAAAATAACCGTACTGTGTGTGAACGTAACTGTATTAAGGACTTAAATACAGGACTGACAACCTTATTCTGCTGCTGTGTGAACATGGCCTGTATAAGTGAATGTTGACTGTCTCATTTAATTTTGTGGTCTCTTAGCCATGTAATAACTAGAGGTTGACCAATGTATCCTTTTTGCCGATTAATCGACACAGATAGTTGATTGCTGGAACTATTGGCAAAAATCCATACCGATAGTTTTTCCGGGTTGCATCCGTTGCTGAAGCGGCTGAGAAGGTCCGCTGTAATTATACAGTTCGAGAGCACCCTCTAGAGTCGGAAATCACATGCTGTTTGTTTTGACACGTGACACTGCGCGCTGCACAGAGCGGGACACTTCAGACGAACAGATTTAAAACAGACAACGAAATGTGTATACAGTACACTATAGTGCATGTTTTCATATGATTACTAAGTAATTAATTTGTTGACTAGATGCTGCATTAGTGGAGAGGGAACAGCAATATGTTTGCTGTCAAGGCTGAGAGGACGCAAACATTAGTAGCACCTCGAATGGTTAAAACAATGTGACCAAAACACACGCAAGTCCGACACAAAAGCTTAATGTCACGATTGTTACCATCTATTTGTATTAGTTTATATCCAGCTGGTCACATTAATGCATTTGTTATCCAGCGAAGTTGCAGATTTAAAGCTGTGACGTGAGAAAACACATTGATATGTTGATTCAGTGGAAAGAAATCCTGCCGTGCCACAGATCGCCACTCACACTATTTTCCATTAAATTACATTTATATTTGTCCCAAATTGTTTTTAATGTACATAATGACTTCACCCAAGGCTCTAAAATTGTGTATTGTGCATTTTTCAG